TCTAGGACCACACACCCCATCCGGCTCAGATCTCAGTGCAACTTCCAGGGTTTGGAGGAGCGGTTAGCAGGCATTACTGCCAAAGCCTCTAACACCGTCATTTCTATAGGCCTGGGTGACCTACCAAGAGAACTGTCTGACTGAGAAGCAATACGTCATTTTTTAATTTGACTCAGACTCAGTTCAGTTTAACTTGGCATTCCCAATATGGCTTGCCCAGGGCCACCGTATTTTTAACAAAGGACATGTAGTGATGCTTGGTCTTCCTGTTATTAAGACGGAATGGCGATAACTCTTGAAAAGACCAAATCTTAGTGTGAGTGTTGAATTGATGCCTTCGGGTGGCTCTGATGCTTACTTCAAGTGTTGGGCCTATTCCAATTTCCATGTTTACTCCGTGCAGTGAGCTGTCAGCAGAAGCTCAGTGCCAGTCTGTCTTCCTCCACACATAAATGCTGTTGAGCAGGTGGTCGGAGCACTTTGTTTTGTCTAAGCATTCTGCTCCTTATGGGCCAGGTGAGGGAGGCAGGTTTTCGTTGCCAACTAGTTGATTCATGTGAGAGAGTCCAGGCAGCAGCTCTCGGCTCCTAGTCTTACCCTTCAGTGTTTATCTAGCTCCACGTGGCTCTTGTGAGTCTCCAAAAACTGTTGGGCCTCATCGCCCCCTTTAGATTTGCAGGCCATCTGTGGCACAATACATGTTTCTTTGACTGCATTGAGTAATATGGAGCCCTGCTGGGGTAGTGGTTACACATTGGGCTGAGATCAGCATGGTCAGCAGTTCAAAACCACCCGCAGCTCCTCAGAAGAAAGACTGGACTCTCTACTCGTATAAACAGCTGCAGCCTCAGAAACCCGCGAGGGACTGGCTACAAGTCAGCATTGACTGAATAGCATCGAGTACATTGAACATATTGAGGGTATTCTAATGTCAGAATTCAGAAAGAATCCTCCTGGAGGAAATCAACCTGGGTGCTAACATGGGGAGACAGGCTTATAAATGGCCATATTTCGGTTAAGTGCAGCCTGATGTTGAGGTGCATCACTGAGATCATGCAAATCAAAAAGGGCACAAAGACTCCATGAATGGAATCGTGGAGAACTTCAGGATTATGGGCAACCTAGTGGGGGTGAGATTTCAGATCATCTCTAAGTCAGGACAAGCAAAAAAATTCTGCATGTCCACATTAAAAGTGAAGGAAGTGTCCTTGTGGAATTGCTTCCCAAAAGCTCAC